CTCTTCCCGAAGTCACAGCGGCCACCGGAGGTAAGCACTGAATCGGCTCAGGACGTCAAGGCAGCCAGGACAGCACAAAGACACTCGTGACGGGCCGTCAGCACCGCTGCATGGTGGCAGCACCGCAAGGGTCGGTGTGTCTGAGGCAAAGGAGGGCATTTCAAGGGGGGTGGGGCGATTGTCTTTCGCTGAGATGATGAGCTCGCCGTGTGTTTGATCTCACCGTGTGTATCTGAGGATGGAGTGCTGGCCTAGCTGGAGAGAGAGTGTGTGTGTCCGTGTGTGTGTTAGAAGAGGGGCCCCCAAGAGCAGGTGAATGAATAAACACAGCAAAACCTTGGTTTGCAAAAGTAACTGGTTCCGCTTGTAGCCCGGAGCACCTGTGCGGGGAGAGGGAGAGACGCCAGCGTGATGAGCTGGGCATGATGTACCACTCGTATTGCAAGACATCGCCTGCTTATCGAGTTAAAACTCCTTACAGATGTTTGCCCGTCTTGCAGAACAGCCCTGGACTGAGTTACCTGAACTCTAAGGTCTAAGTGTAATCACCACTGAGAAAAGTGTGTGCTGCTGAGGGCCAGAGAGCCGCGGGGTGAGGCCAGACCTCCATGCCACACGCCAGGCGCCCGGAGACTCCTCAGGGGGACCCAGTTGGCGGTGAGCCGCTCTGTGGGTGGAGGTGAGGAAAGCATGGTGGGCAGAGGACAAGGCCACAGAGCACAGGGGTGGGGTCATGCAGGCCTGGGGACTGGGCCCTGGTTTGCCCGGACTGTGGTTCTGGCGAGAAATCTGTTCTCTGTCAGCCACACAGCATGAGCACAAAGGGTGTGAGAGTCAGGAGCAGCTGGTGAAGCCCTGGGCTTCCACGAGTGAGCCCAGGACAGACAAATCCTCACCTGGGAGAGAGAGGCTACACCACTACCCGCCCGTCTCCAGAGCCTCAGCTGTGGCCTCCACGCCCGTTCTGGTCACCAGGCCATGTGCTCCACGCATCTGCAGCCGGGGCTGTGCTGCTGAGGTCCCTGCCCCGGGAGCGGCTGTGGGCCTCCGAGCCCAGGCACAGGCCCTGGGTGTCAGTCGCTGCCTCTCAGGGCCCGGGCTCTCTGCTCAGCGGGTCTGTGTGGGGCCGAGGCCTTGATGTGTAATAAATCCCACAATGCTGCTCCCACCGCTGCCGTCACAGGGCCTCAGGAGCAAGACAGAAAGGGGCTCCGTGGTTGCCTGTGTGCTGCAGCCCCTGAGCAGCCATCTGCCCAGCCCCCTTCTTCAGTGGGCGCACATGGGTCCCATCCCCTGCAGGCCTTCTGTGACTCAGCTCAGCCCTCTGCCCTCTCTGCCCGGGAGGAGGCTGTGCCCGAGGACACTGCACCCTGGCTTGCTGGTGCCCCTGACACGGGGACCCTTCCTCCTTGTCACCTGGCATAGCACAGGGACCCAGAGCCCTGTCTCCATGTCCCTGGTCTCCAGGTGACACCGTGGGGAGCAGAGCCTCCCTGAATTAGCTCCACTCTGGGGACAGTGTTTCAGCGCCCCCAGTAGCCTCTTCCCCGGAGCGAGCTTCAAGGTCGTCTCGCCCTCCACAGACTTCTTCAACCCAGATGTCTGTGTTTTCCTGCCCAGGGTCCCCTGTCCTGGGGGCTCCACGGCGCTGTGGCGGTGGGGTCTCTGATCACCTCCTACTGCACAGCCTCCTCCCGCTGTTGCGGATATAATGCGATTACTGGAACTCTGTCAAGAAAGCAGTTCCATTTTTATGCATGTGTCTGAACATGAAAATCCTGACTTAGGTGCTTTTATTCCCTGTGGTGCATGGGAACAAATGAGAAAAAAACAGAAAACAAAAACTGAAAAACTCCCAACATTGCATTGAACAGGTAAGCTGAGGTTTACCAAGGGTTCATCTGCCAGGTACTGTGCTACACTTCACTTACTTTTAATTTCAAGTCCTCACAACCCTGGAAAGGAGATGTGCCCATTTTACAGACCAGGAAACCGAGGTGTAGGTAATTCAAGTCACTTGTCCAAGCCATGCAAGCCGTGGAGTAGTGATCAGCACTGCAGGGAACTAAGTCTAGTTTCCTCTTTCCTGGGCCTCTTGCTGCGGTGCTGCGGGTGTTGCTATGTTGCCCAGGCCTCCAACTCTTGGGCTTGGTGGTTCTCCTATCGCGGCCCCTGGATGGCTGGGATACAACCCTTCCTGCTCCAGGCTTTTTGATCGGTTCCTACTAAACACGAGTGGCCTCTATTCCCCAGCCCTCCCCCTGCTCTGCAGATACACGGACACACACGTGTGCAATGTCACAGGTGCTGAGTGCCGTCATCTGTAAGGACCATTTTTACTTCTTCTGAGAGTCTGCCGGTTGTTAGAAGTGGCAAACCTCTAGCAGCACAGTGCCCTGCTTCTGTTTATTGTTTTGGTTGAGACAGAGCCTTGCTGTGTAGTTTAGTCCTGAACTCACTGCGTCACCCAGGCTGGCCTCGAACTCAAGTTCAGGATGAGCCTCCTGCCTCAGCCTCCTGAGTACCCCGATGACAGATTCGTGCCACCCTGGCTGGCTCTGTTTAAAGACACCCTTTGGCTCCACTGGAGATCACCTCCTGGTTTTTCCGTCAGGGATCTTTCTGCAAACACAGCACTGGCTTTCACCCTCTCAGCCTCACCCTTCAAAGAAAGCCCACGCCCTGCACACTTGGGACCACAAGTGGAATAAAAGGAGGCAGCGAGAATTGTCTAAATTTAAAGTGCTGGAAAATCCAACATTTTATTGACTACATTTCGGTGACTACATAAATGCTGAAACATTGTAACACTGAAAAGCATGGTGGGTCAACACTTGCTTTTTTCTTTTTTGCTTAGCAAACAGCAGATGATATTGCACAGCGTAAAGTGAGGACAGTAGCGAAGCTTCAAAAGAAACTGAAAGAAACCTTAATGTAGTACAGGAGCTACTGAGGAACAAAGCGGGAGGCGCCTGCGCGCTTCACTGCTATACACCAAAGTACAGGAGGGGAGAGACGAAGTATCAGCAAACAACCATGACTGGTACAATAATCATTTCGTCTGAAATGGAGACGCGACATAGAAACTACCACTGTGTCCTAAGTGACAAAGAAAACGACAGCAACATTTGTTTTTTATCAAAAGTTTTCTAAGCCCCTTGTGGTTAGGTTTTAATTATTTATGATTTTTTTCTTTTTTTCGTTGCTAAGGAAGAACTCCCTTTGCTCGAGGAAGATTTTTTCTATCCTACGGATCTTTTTTATTTCATTTTATTATTATTTACCTGATGATTGTCTTAGGCACCCTCCTTACATCATAAACCATCAAGCTAACTTGAACAGGGAGACCGAGTCACACTGAAACAACAGCTAAGGTCAGAGGTTGCCGGAAATGGGAAAGGGGAGAAGGAACGGATCTAGGGGACGGCAGGGGCCGATTCGGGCTGACACGGGGACACATGAAGACAACTGCCAAAGCAGCGGAAGACAATGCTTTAAAGTTTATTTTTTAAAAAAATACTTGTCGTTTGGTTCAGGCGTCAAATCGAAAATGAGCCACAATGGTTACGTAACAGATGCAGAACAAACCGCAAAAATCAAGTCCACACAGAAGCAGAAAAAGTGACCTTGTGGATAGGACCCTGCTCCGCGCTGGCTGCTGAAGGCGGAGGGGACGGGACGGGACCCCCAAGCCTGCGGCGGGGTCGGTGATAGCCCACGCGCGTCCGTGGGAGACGCAGGGCCTCGCCAACCTAGCACGCAGCCAAGCGCTCCTAAGAAAATGTCGCTTTTGGCCTGAAATCCGACATCGAACCCCTCCCTCTGCAAACGCACCTGCGAAAGAATGATGGCGACCCTCGCGTGCCGAGGGAGGCGTTGGCGGCGTCCGTGGGCGGCCGGCGGCCGGGGAGATTCTCAGCACAGGAAACCGAGCG